CACAAGCAAGTACTGCAGGGGCACAAGCAAGTATCGAGACCAGCGAAGCGTCGGGGCGTCGAAGCGTCGGGGAGACGGAAGCTCACGTTGTGTTGTTGCAGGGGCACAGGCAAGTCGAGCATCCCATTGCATCTGCGTCGACATGGGCAACCAGACGCGGCTGGAAGTCGTTGTGGTCGCCAGCTACTACAGGACATGGTGGGGGACATTCGGGAGGCGTGGCCATCCTGGCGAGGGGCGGGCTCGGAATGCGTTCCCCTGCCTCGGGACGTGAAGTAGTTCATGCGCGAGTGGCTGCTGTCTCCTGGGTCCTGTCCCATCCTCCTGGCGTCTTGTTATTTCCACGATTGCGAGGACCTTCCGGAATGAAGCCTCTCCCTGCTCTCTGCTGCCTGCTCCTTGGGGAGGGGCTCGTGATCTGAGGGCATAATTGGAGGTGGTTTCAATTTGGGGCCCTTGGTTGCGTCAGGATCGGGCGCGCGGGACTCTGGCAGGCTCGCCCGCCTTGCGTCGGGCGAGAACGCGCGCCGATCCACTGCGGGCTTGAAGCAGCTGGTTCTTTCTTTGGCCAGTGCCGGCGCGGCCGAGGGCGCGGCTTCGGTCGCGCCCGACAGAGAGTCGCGCCTCTCGCCGTGCCGCCCTGTCCAAGTCGCGTTGCGCCCCCAGCTCGGCAGGTTGATGTCGCTGGCCTTTTCGGCAGCCTCCGCCTTTGCCCTCGGCGCATCTCCCGCCCGTTTGCAGCGCGGGCCCTGTCCCCCGCGCTCGCGCCCCCCCTGCCGTTCTTGACGGCTGCGGGGGGCCCCTCAGAGGGGTGTTTTTTTTGCGAGGGCCAGGGTTCGTTGAACAAGGCCTACAAGTTGTGCGCCAACGTCGCCGAGGAGGAGATGGCTATTGATTGCCGCGGGTGAGAGCCTTGCGCGATGGGGGTCGCGGGGCAAGCCCCCGGCCTTGGTTTGGATATTTTTACCCGAGCCTCCCCTCCCCAGTCTGAGTTTTTCGCCTGCAAGTGGTTAGGTGGCCTCCACGGCGATTGCGCGGGACGCTGGGGACGGGCGAGAGGGGCCCCGAGATTGGAGGGGCCTCCGAGTCAGTTTCGCGGACAGGCTGGAGGCCTTCCTCTCGGACCTGTCCATGCACGAGGGCTTCGTGAATCCGTGGTTGGGCAGATTCAAGGTCCTTCGCGGTGAGTTCCAAGTTTCTCACGCCAATCTCGAGGCTGAGGTAAGGAAGGAGGGATCATGGAGCTTCGCGATTGGATTTTGCATTGGATTGACAGGAGAGCTCGGAGGGTGCACGCGGCAGCCAAGGGCGCCACGAAATGGCAGCCCACGACCGCGCTGTCTACGGATAAAGGGGTGGCGCGCGATCCTTCGTCGCTCCTGCAATCTGAGAGTCGCGGCAAGTTTGCCTACATGGGGGGGGGGCAGTCGCGCGGGGGATTGGTTCGAGCGTTGCCTGTGCTGCGACGAGCTCCCGCCTGTGGCTGTGCGCTCTTCTTCCAAGGGGTTCACGGAGAATACGTCGGCGGTTTCTGACATGTTTCGCACGTGGCACTCTCCCCCGATGAACGATCACATTTTGGAGGGCGTTGTGATACTTGTTCGCTGCCATGGAGATGTCCTCTTTGCTCCCCAGCCAAATCGCTATCGCGCTGCCCCCCTTGGTCCCTGCGGCGGACTCTAGGCCCAGGCCCGCTGGAACGTTTTGCGCGTCGTCGCATCGTGCCCGCGGCCGCGTCCGTCGCTCTCTTTGCAGAGAGTGGAAGCTATCCCGCCCTCGGGGGCACTTTGCGGCTGGGCCCTTCGAGGGGGGCCAAGATGCGGCGTGGCGACAGTCGCTCCGCGCCGAGCCCAGCGCGAAGGATGAAGGTCATGCCGCGACGGTCTTCTTCGATGTATGCAAGGAAGATGAGACTATTGATCTTCGCAAGCTGTCGCGTCGGCGCAAGATCTGCAGTTTCCCTTCGGCTCTTGCGAGAGTTGCTGTGCGCATTTGATTTCAGCGCAGATGGTTCAGGCTTTCAGGTTTCACTGGCGGGCCCTTTCGGGCTTCCAGGGGTATTTTGGCCGGTTGCGCGATCGCGACGACCCTGGCCCGCGCGCGCTCCATTGGGGCCCTCGACCATCTGAGTCCGCCGCGCCAGGCGCAATACAAGTTGCGCATTGACGATTCCGACCACTCTGCAAAAGGGCCGTCCGAATGCATTCTCGCCTATCTCTCGCCGACTGCGGGGACATGCGCTGGGTCTTGTCGGAGGGGGCGGGCACGATTGTTCCGAATGGCCTTGGAACGGGGTCGCCCGTTTGTCCCGCGTGGACTCTGGGCGGGCAGTTCGGCGCCCGCCCTGAGACCTAGGTGCCCCCCTCGCGCCATGCGCTGCCTGTTGAGGCGTGGGTGACGCTGCCGGCAAGGCGCGCCGGCGACGCGGGGGACCTGGCAAGGTCATAGGAACGGATGAGTCGTCCAGGAGTTTTTGCGCCAGGTGAGCGCGTTTGAGGCCCGCGGTCGGGGGTCGCGCGGCCCGTCGCGCGCTTGCCGCGGGGCCCATGGCTAGCGACCTCTTTGTTGCCGACGCCCGCGGGGTTACGGATTTCGAGTTGCTGCAGTTTCGTCGCCAGGCGGCCTCTTCGCTGCAGCCCTCGGCCCAAAGAAGACCCCTCACTTGTCTTTTGTTAGCCCACCAGGAGCCGCGCTGACGCGCGGCGGTAGCGCCGATCATCCGCTGGGCCAAGGAGGCGCGAATCCCCCGCCACTATCTGGATTCGTTCGTTGCCCCCGTGGCCGGGCTCAGAGAAGCTCGGGACGTCGGCTTCCGCGGGGCGTCGGGGCTCTGGAAAATGCTACTGGGCCTGCGTCAGCCCCTCGGAAGTCTTGTTTTGCGCGTCTCCTGGGCCGTGGCAACGCATGCCGCGATCGCGTCGGCCAAAGGGGGCAATCCTGCGCGTGCTGAGGTTTCGCTTCGGTTGCTGAGAACGCTTCTCAAGGAAGCGGTCGTTCGAGGGCTGGAGTGGGACTTGGGGGCCAAACTTGACATGGATGGGAGGGCTTGCGTCGGTGGAGCCTTTGGGGTGGCCCCAGAGCTCCGGGCTCGGCCCCTGCGGGACAGGCTGCGCGTGGTCTTTGTTCAGCGGCGCCATTTATATTGAGCAGCGCGCTGCCGACTTAGGCTACGCGATCCCGTCCGCGCCGCGCCCGCTGCGCCTCGGCGCGGCAGACGCACTGGGGCACCGTTCGTGGCTGCGTGCGGAGGTGTCGAGCGACGGGGGGGCTTTGGCCAAGGACGGGGTGGGGAGGTGGGCGGAGGATGCGGACGGCGTGCTCGCGCGCTTCGGGGTTTTCAACTACCCTGCCCAGTCTTGCCCTCGTCCTCTTCAGCCGGGCGGCGCGCAGGTCGAAAGAGTTCCCCCCCCAATCGGGGCTCCAAGTTCGGCGCCGTTTTTCACGGACGGGTCATGCAGCAGGAGGGCCATCCCCGATTTCGTTTTTGCGGGTTGGGCCTTCTGGCTCGGGCATGGTGGTACAGGTCTTGAGAACGCGAAAGTGCGCCTGTCAGGCCTCCGTGTCCACAGACGGCGCAGGCCGTTGAGTTTCACGCCTACCCGGTCGCGCTGCAGTGGCCGTGTAGTCTTTGTTACCATGTTGTTGATTGCAAGGCCTGCGTTGCTTTTCGTGCCCTTCGTTGGGAAGAACAATGCTCACCTAAGCGCGCGTGCGCTGGAGGTGTTCGATGTCGCCGACAGTTTTTCTGGCGGCGCAAAGTGCACAACGTCAAGGCCCACCAGTCCTCTGAAGGTAACCATGCTGTCGACGCGTCGGCGGAGCAGGCTGTGTTGATCCACCGACAGCCCGGCAACGCGGGGGGTGAGGATGTAGATGGCAAGTTGGCCATCGCGAGAGTTGCGAGCATGCTGGCCGCGAAACTCTTATCACTTTGGCCGCGTTTCGATCTAGGGCCGCATGTGGAGAGGATGTTTGTTGATACTCCTGCGCGCACAGCACAGACCAGGGTCCAACGCGCGCTTGGAGCTGGACGGGGCGTTTGTAGCAGCGTTCCACATGTTTTCGTGGATCACGTTCATCCGACAAGCCGCCCGCGAGCTTGTACCGTGTAAGTGCGGGCGTTGCGATCCGTGGCGTGGGTGTTCCTGCGTTTTATGCTCTGGGGCGCTGCATGCTATTTCTTGACGCTTCGGACAGTTTTTTGTGCGCGCCGCAAATGCAAGTTCTATACTGGAGGCGGGCAGGTTCGAGGCCTCCGACAGCGCTGCCAGCCGATCCCGAAGGCTGGAGATCAGGGTCGGAAGCACGCCTGGGGGCAGATCGCGAGGGGACGTCACCCCAAGCGCGGAGGCGTCACTGTGTCTGTTGGCCCCCGGGCCAATATGGCGGGGGAGGAGGAGGAGGAGGAGGAGGAGGAGGAGGAGGAGGAGAGGAGGAGGAGGAGGAGACCCCCGCGCCTTCTGTTGAGACTTCCCACCCTCGGTTTCGGAGGAGGAGGGGGACGTTCGCGAGTGGCGCAGGGCTGCTGTTGCCCAGCGCCTCTTCGCGGCTGCCACATCGAGTCTGCCTGTTCGGAGGTCGGCTTGGGTATTTTGTTGTTTGCCTCGGGGGTCTCGCCCTCCCCTGAGGTGACGTGTGGGCCGCTTGCTGCGCTGCGGCCGAAAAATCCTCCTCCTCCTCCTCCTCCTCCTCCTCCTCTTCCTCCTCCTCTTCCTGCTCCTCCTCTTTCCTCCTCCTCCTCCTCCTCCCCCTTCCTCCCCTCCTCCTCCTCCTCCTCCTCCTCCTATCCTCATCCTCATCCTCATCCTCATCCTCACCTCACCTTCCTCCTCCTCCTCCTCCTGCTCCTCCTCCTCCTCCTCCTTCTCCTCCTCCCCCTCCTCCTCCTCCTCCTCCTCCTCCTCCTTCTCCTGCTCCTCCTCCCCCACCTCTTCCCTCATCCGCTCCCACTCCCTCCTTTTTCCCACCCTCCCGTCCGTGAGCCCGCTGCGCTGTGCGAGGCAGGCTCCTCCAAGGCTTCCACGCCGCAGATGCCTCTGAAGAATGCCCAGGCCTCCGCCGCCGCCGTCGGCGTCGCCGTCCTCCCTCCTGTTTCCTCCTCCTCCTCCTCCTTTTCCTCCTCCTCCTCCTCTTCGGAAGAGGAAGAGGAAGATGAAGAGGAAGAGGAGGGTGGGGGATGGGGGATAGGGGGATGGATGGGAGAGTGAGGAGGATGAGAAAGGCGGGGTGGGAGGAGACGGCTGAATATGAGAAGGTCAAGGAAATGATGGAGGAAGTGGAAGCCAGGAAGCGACAGTCCGAACAAGTGCGAGGAGGAGGAGGAGGAGGAGGACGAGGCATAGGACGCGTGGCCTCCTTCGGAAAGCCTCGCGAGCCGCAGGACGACGCCCCGCGGCAGCGGAGGGGCGACGGGCAGAGCGCGCCGCCGTCTTTGCGCCCACTCGGCGGCGGGCTGCGCCGCGCACGCGCCAGGGCCCGGGAAGTCTCACGGTGGGGGCCCGCCGCGGGCCCCAGGGCCCTGCACAGGTCCAGGCACCGCGGCGCTGGCGGCCCCTTGCGTTTCTGGCCGCTGGCCTGGCCCGTCTGCCCGCCGTTGTGTTCCTTCCTGGCTCCCCCGCGCGTCGTTCGCCCCTGCTCCACGCATGGCTGTTCCCCCCTCCCCCCCCCTGTTCGTTCCCGCCCCTCCGCCTGTCGGCGAGGACCGGGGGGAGGAGGGAGTGGAGGAGGCGGAGGAGGCGGAGGAGGAGGAGGAGGAGGAGGAGGAGGAAGAGGAGGAGGAGGAGGAGGAGGAGGAGGAGGAGGAGGGACAAAAGAGGGGAGGGCAGGGGAGATGGGAGGAGGGCGGGGGAGGGATGATGGGGCAAGTAGCTTGGAGTCGGGAAGAGGAGGGGTGAGGAGGGAGGAACCCCTCCAGCCCTGGCCTCCAGCCTGCTCGCTCGTCGTCGTCGGCTTGCTCCTCCCTCTCCATCTCCTTCTGCCCGGCGGGTAGCACACTCTGCTGGGAGCTTGCGGCGCCAGCAGGGTTGCCGGCGGCCCTCCACGCATGGCCGCCGTTTTTGTTTTGGCCACGGCTTCGCGGAGGGTGTCCCAGCCTCGGATGGGAATCTTGCTGGAGCAGGCCCCACGCAAACTTTACCCCACCTCCCCCCTTAGAACTGGCCACGGCTTCGCGGTGGGCGTCCCAGGCACAGGCGGGGATCCTCTTGGAGCAGTCCCTCCTTGAAGCAGTGGCTAGGCGTCCTGGCTTGCCTATAGGCCCACCGAAGAATGTTCTAAGAACCGTCTGTGGTTTGCACGGAATGTTCATAGAACATTTCTGGTTGGGGCTGTTTTGTTTTAACCTATTTGCTGCACGTTCTAAGAACACTGCCTTGGTTATTAGAACATGCTCGGGCTCTGTGAACATGTTGACAGGAATGCCGGCGCGGCCGCCCCTGCTCAACTCCTGCGCTGCTGGGCCCCAGCTTTTGCTGCACAGGCCACGACGCTGCTGGCTCCTCCGCACTTCCGGGCCTCCGGGGGGGCCCTCTCGGGCCCCCCCCGGGGCACGCAGAAGAAGACACGGGGCGCCTGAGGAGATCGATCATAGGAGGGAGGGGGGGGTAAATTACCCCCCCCCCCTCAGGAGGCCAACATGGGGCGGGGGGAGCCTGCGGCGGAAGACCGCCTCCTCGCGGCAGGGCCCCGGGAGCCCCCGGGGGCCCAGGCGCCGCGCACAGGGGCGCGCGGCGCCGGCGTTGTGTGAGGGGTGCGCCGTGGCCGGCCTCCGCGGGCCCCCGGGGTGGCCCGGGGCGGTCTCAGCACCCCCGCCCCGTTGGGGTTCGGCAGCAACTCGTGGGAGCCTCCTCCTCCTCCTCCTCCTCCTCCTCCTCCTCCTCCTCCTCCTCTTCCTGCTCCTCCCTCTCCTCCTCCTCCTCCTCCCCCTCCTCCTCCTCCTCCTCCTCCTCCCCCTCCTCCATTTCCTCCTCGTCCTTGTCCTCTTCCTCCTCCGCCTCCTCCTCCTGCTCCTCCTCCTTTTGCTTCAACTCCTCATGCTGCGGAACTCTTCCACGTCTGACTGCTTCCCGCCCTCATCCCCTGGCGCGGCCGCCCTCGTCTTCGCCTCTTCTTGCGCTCCGGACACTTTGCCTTTCGGTTGCCCCGATTAGCCCCACGTTGGCGCGGACTGCTTCTGCCTCGCCGCCGACGAAACAAGTGTACCTTCGCAATTTTGTTTTCAGCGTCGGCTCGCATCGATTAGCGTCTGGGAGTCGATGATATAGCGCCGATTTAGCGTCGGCCAGCGTCGATCAGGGTGTGTTTAGCGTCGATTTAGCGTTGACTAGCGATGAGTCGCAAGAGCCGACAAGATGGCATGCTAGGCTCTCATGAGTTGCCACCGAAGTTGGGCGTGGCGAGTCGGGGGGGCCGATCAATGGGGGGGCAGCAAGGGCTGCAGAAAAGGTGCCCTTTAGGGTTCCTGGAAGGGCCCTTCGGGGACCAGCGGGAGGCGCCGTAGGGCCCGGGTAGTGCACCTTTCTTCTCCCCCCGCCTACGGTGGGGGCGTCCGTTGAGGAATGTGCCACGGAAGCCGCAGACCCTGGAGGTTTCCTTAATGATGCTGGTGCTGGCCCCTGCGGCATCAGAGTTCGTGTCCTCGCCTGGCGCCCTCTTGCACAAAAAGAATCATCTGGCCACGGAGTCGTCCACAATGATGTGATGAGGGCGGCGGTGATACCCATGGCTGATCCACGCTTGGAGTTCCACCAGCGTCCAGACCCTGGGTTCCTTGTCCAATGGTTCCTTATCCGATGCCCCCCACCGCGTTAGCGGTTGCGGGCTTCGCCGATCGGGCGGAGGCCGAGCAGCGCGGGGGAGCAGCCATGACGCGGCGAGCGGACGAGGCCCCCGCTGCCCAGGAGCCCTGAGCAGCCTGCGGTGCTCCCGTGGGCTTTTGCCTCTATGAGTGTTCGGATGTCTTCTTCCTTTTTCTGGCTTCGACTGCAAGAGATGCCCCCCTTCTGGATGAGGTCTGCGGGGGCTACTCTCAGAGTCGGTCCTGTGCCTCCAGGCTGGCGGCCGAGAGGCGATCCCGCACTGGGCCTCCGGCAATGTTGTGGTCGTCCTTCGAGGGGAAGAGGGGGAGGAGGTGGATGAGAAGGAGGAGGAATCATGGGCGAGCCGTGCCAAGTGCCTGGGGAGCTCGCATCGCAAAGCGAGCGAAACGGCTGGCACTGAGGATTCGGACTCGTCAGAGAAGCTGTGAGTCTCCATGATGGTTCGGTTCTGTTATGTGTGGGCTTGCGTGTCATTGACATACGTTGGCACGCCAATAAAGCGAAGTGAATCATGAGGAAAATAGGCAAAAGGGAGGAGGGGAAGGGAGGAGGAGGAGAAGGGAGGATGAGGAGGAAGAGGGGAAGAGAACAGAGAGGAGGGGGAGGGCCTGGTGTTATCGTTTCTGGTTGGGCATCCCGTGGAGCCTTCGTTGCTCGTTGCCACGGCAGAAAGCACGGCGTCACTGAAAATCTACGACATCGTCCTAGGCTTCGTACGCACGTGATTTCTCTAGCCAGATCGATCTGTGTGGGTCCTGAAGCCAGCACAGCAAGGTCGCCCACCGTGCGACGCCCAGACACTCCAGAGGTCTAGACATGTTCCCACCTCTCAGCGAAAACCCGCACAATACCGACCTCTGATCTTGTCCGAGGCGCCATCCTGACCCTCTGGGCCGCGTCCAGCCGTACAGCGAGGAGTGCCTCAGAAAGTCCATCCCCCAATGGGAAGGACGTGAAGGAGGACGACGACGACGTGGAGTTAGTGCCGGCCCGGATCCTGACAACGGACGTGCCCCAGAGCTGTCAGAGATCCATGGAGACCTCGGGAGGCCCCCCAAGAGACAGAAGTGCATGGTGGCGCGCCGGCGACGCCAGCGAAGGCGTTCAAGGTGGAAATCTGCGACGCGGAAGCACCGAGGGACACGATGACGCCGCTGGACCCGACGGGAGTCGACCTTGCACGAGCGGGGCCGCGGTCGATTCGAGGTCGAGCGACCGACGCGGTGTCCAAAGCGCCTCTGCGCGTGCCGTCGCCGGCGCCGCACGAGCAGACCGCACCGAAGTCCTCGGTCCCCCCTCGTCTTGGGGGCACAGTGCGGCACGAGGAGAGGCCCCGGGCGCTCCGCGGTGCCCGCCCGGAGCGGCGCGGGTACACACGCGCAGGGACCGCCAGGGGGAGGTGCCGCGGGGGAAAGAGAGAGAGGCCGCGCCTCGGGGACTGAGCAGTGACGGTAAACACGAAAGCTCGGGGGCATCACCTCGGGGACATACCGTCAAGCCGCATAGTCAGGACTGGCAGTGTTCTCAAGGGTACCCTCGCAGCCTTGCCTCTTCAGTCCATCCTGGCCACTTTCGTTGGCCGCGCCCCGCTCGAAAAGCTTTGACACGGTCTTACAAGGCCGTGGCATCCTTATCGTGCATCATTCTCATACGTACGGGTCGACTGCAACCAACGAGGGCATGACAAATCGAAGCGGACATGACAACCCGAAGGTCCGAGCGGACCTTCGATTTGCTGTGTCTATGTCGGCGCTTGTTCCCCTAAGAGAGGCCACACCACCACCACCAACAACACCACCACCAGTGTTAGGTCGGGTATGTCCCCCTGCAGGCGGAATTTGGGCGAAGAATATACAACACATTCGCAAAACTTTTCAAACAATATTCCGTTCTCGGATTTTGTTGACTATTCTTGAATATTCCTCCTGTAGAGGGACACGCCCGATTTAACACCATGGGTGCCACCTCCATCGAGTAGGTCCACGGCTACCTCCCCGAGCTGGGGGCAAGGGGTCGTCTCGAGAGGGGAGGAGGGCCCACACCACCAAGAGGATCCCCCCCGAAAGAAGGGGCGATAGAGGATTAGTTTTAAGTCGGGCCTGTCCCTCTACAGGGGAAGTATTCAAAAATATGTGAAACATATACTGGAGACGATTTTTTGATTATGTTGTTGACCCGATGGGGGTATTTGGGGTGTATTTTCCATTTTTCGCCCAAAATCCCCCTGTAGGCGGACAGGCCCGACCTAAAGTTGGTTGGATGTCTGTCTGTCTCAGAAGCCTTGCGTCTGCGTGCTAGGCACCAGCGTTAGGGCTTGCTCGAGACATCTTTAGCCAGAAAGCCATGGCTCCAGCACGCGTGTAGCAGCAGCCTGCCGCCGTCTACCCCAACCTCTGCCTCCCTTGGCGGTGTACGAAGATGCTTGAGTTTGCAAGCGCTTGACATTTGATGGGCTTGTGTTTGTTCCCAACTAAGACTTGCAACTAGCTTGGCGGCACTCCCCGATTCCACCACTGCGGAAGGCTTGTCCAAGCCGTCGCGCCACAGGCCCCTTCCCTCCGCCCGCGGTCACGCGCGGCACTCCGGTTCTGCTGCCGCCGCCCTCCGACGACGACTGGCAGCGGCGCCGACGACGACTCCGACGACGAGCGACGGACGTCTTGCGGCGGCTGCGGATGGCGGTGACGACGGACGACGGCGACGCCGACTCCGACGACGAGCGAGGGCGACGTCGACGATGACTCCGACGACGAACGTCGAAGTCCAGTGCGGGGGTGATGGACGGCGCCGAATGGCTACTGGTGACTCCGAGGGCGACTGGCAGTGGCAGCGACCGCGACCCCTCCTCGTCGCCCAGCGGGCGCCTTGTTTAGGTCGGTCTCGCGGACTGGGCCCGGCTGGTCGCAGCCGCTGCGGCAGAGGAGGACATCATTGTCGTGGCCGCCGCCGTCGTCGTCGTCGACATCGGGAGTCCTCCACGTCGTCGTCGTCGTCGTCGTCGGCTTGCTCTTCATCATGCTCACTTTACCTGATCACTCTCCTTGTGTTTCTCCTTCTTGTCTGTGTTCTGGTTCGTCTTCTTCTCATTGTGTTCATGGGGTCATTCTGACAGGGGGGAGGGTAAGGGAGGAGGATGCTGGAGGACGCGTACAGAGTAAACGGGGAAAGATAGCTAAGCGAAATCGGGAGGGAGGAGTAATATTCATGATGTGCAGGAGGAGGAGAAAGAGGAGGAGGATGAGGGGATTGGCTTGGAGGAGGAGGAAAAAACAGGCGAACAAGGCAGGGATGAGGAGGAATGATGATGAAGAGCAGGAGGAGGAGGCGGAGGAGGAGGTAGGACGTGGAAGGGTTGCTACCCTCTCCAGTCATCTTCTGCCCCGTCCTCTTCCTGTCCTTCTGTCCCATCCCCTGCCCTTCCCATCCCTGACTCTTACTATTACCTCCTCCTCCTCCTCCGGTTCCTCCTCCTCCTCTCCCTACTTTTGGCGCCTGTTGTGCCTGAGCGCGTCCGTGCGCGGCCGCACGACACCTGGCAGCAGTGACAGACGGTTTTCACGCGCCTGGCAGGCCTCGGCACAGCTTCAGCGTGCAGGTTCTGGCGTCACCCAAGCATACTGATACTGACACTGCGTGCGCGTCGCCTCCCAAGGGGGCGACTTGCGCGCACTCAGAAATCTTACAGTATAGACTCCGTGGCGGGTGTTTTCCTGACAGTACTGCTCGGGCAACGGTAAACTCTAAGATGTTCGTACAGTCGAAACCGATGATGAGGATGGGTAACCTGCCCAAGGGTACCCTTGCCTCCTTGCCTCGCGCGTCCATCCTTAATCACTCCCGATGGCGGGTCCCGCTCCAAAAGTGTGGGCATGGCCTTCCAAGGCCCGTGCATCCTTTTCGTGCATCTTCGCTGCATTTTTTGCCAGTACCCATCGGTCGTTGAAAGTAGGTGTTCTGGGATTGCCAGATTCCGGCCTACTTTAAGCGCCTTCCTACTTCAATAACCGATTGGCTTCATCTCTTCCGTCATCTTGGGGGGCGCGCGGAACCCAATCTACTTTCAGTGCCTTCCTACTTCGTGTTCCTACCTGCTTCTTCCGACCGATGGGTACATGTTCGGTTCAGGCGTGCGCCTCCGAGGAGGGCGCACAGCACTGATGTGTGGCCTCGTGCAAGCGCCGGGCGCCCAGCGCGGGCCCCGTGAGGCCTCGGAGCCCGAATCCAGGTCCAGGCCAGCCCCCTCTTGCGCCCCCTCCTCCATCGACGAAGAAAAACGGCATAAGCATACACACACATACAGAACGAAGATAACTCGTAAGCATAAACCTAAACGACATAAACATAAACGGCATAAACATAGCATAGCGAATACAACAAGGCATAAGCATCTACATGAACATAAACATAGACAATTGCCTTAAGAAGAGGAAGACAATACGACACGTCACAACATACAAGAGGAATACACAACGACATACAACGGCATAACATAACTTAAAATAAGCATATGGCCCTCGCCGATTCGAAGAAGAAACAACTGCATACACATTAACTTCTGGCGCTCCGCGCGGATTTCTTGGATCAGCGCTGGACCCCCCACCCCCAGCGGCGCCTCCGGCGCCATCCCTGGGGAGCGCGCCAGGGAGGGGGGCCCAGCGCAGATCCAAGAAATCCGCGCGGATCGCCAACAGTTTAGGTGTATGGCTTTCTTGTTTTTCTTTTATTTTACAGCCACGTGCAGAGGTAGTTAGGGGGAGGGGGGAAGGCTTCTTAGAAGCACCCGTGCTCCTCATATCTATTGGTGTAGGGCTGGCGCCCTTCAAGAAGCAGCCTCCTTTTGAGAAGCTTCCCCGTCCCTCAAGCAGTGGCGTGGCGTCCTGGCTTGCCTATAGGCCCACCAGAGAATGTTTTAATAACCGCTTGTGGTTTGTATGGCATGTTCTTAGAACATTTTTGGTTGGGGCTGCCGGATGTTCTGAGAACATGTCTTTGTCATTCGAAAATTAACTAGTTCTAAGAACATTTCGTGGTAGGACTATAGGAATGTGGAAACGGTCGGCCCCTGCTCAAGTCCCCCTACCTACCCCCCTGTTCGCGCCGCCAAGCCATGAGCCCATTTCAACATTGGTTGGGGCATGACGGGCGTCATGGCCCCCGCTCCCCCCCCCCTATGACGTAACGGCCCCCCCCCCCTCCCGGTGCGCTCCGGGCACGGGCGCTGCCGCCGTGCGCATTGGGATCCGCGTGGGTGTCCGCGTAGGAATCCGCATAGGAGTCTTGTCCGCAGTCGTCGTCGTCGTCGTCGCTGTCATCGCTCGTGGCTCGTCGCTCATCTTCGTCGTGCGCGCGGACGCGGCTGGAGCCTGTTTTTTATTCCGGGCCGACGACGGCAGTCATCGGGGGGAGGGGAGGGGGTCGATGACGTCAGGTTTCGCGCCGGCGGCGTCTGGGAATGCCCAGGAATGACAAAAAGGACGGGTAGCACCAGTATGTAGGTGGCGATCTGCACCACAACGCCTGTGTGCACCACAGTGCCTGCGTGCATCACAGCGCCTGTGTACACCACACCGCGTATGTACACCACAGCAACCGCGTGCAACACAGCGTCAGTTGGTGCCACCGTGCCTGCGCGCACAACAGCTTCTGTGTACACCACAGTGCCTGCGTACACCACATCAGCCGTGCGCAACACAGCACCAGTGTACACCACAATGCCTGCGTGCATTGCAGTGCCCGTGTGCACCACGGCGCCTCTGTGCACCGCAGCAACCGCGTGCAGCACAGCACCATTGCCGCATATAGAATGGAAGAAATCCTTATGACAAAATGGAGCGCTTGTGGATTCCATAGAAAACGAAACAAACTAATCCTTATGGACAAAGGAGCGCCGCTGGAATCTACGTGTCCTCCCAAGTCCGCCCGCACCACCCTAACTCCTCCCATGTACGTCAGAACCAAATGGACCGATTCAATAGACATTCGCGGTGCACGCTGAGATGCGCACGTGCGCTGTAGCGCCAACCCGCACGACAGGGGGTAAGGAGGAGGAGGAAGAGGAAGAGGAGGTGGAGGAGGAGGAGGTGGAGGTGGAGGTGGAGGAACAGGGAGGAGGGAAGAACGTTGCATTCGATTCCTCACATACATGCTCCTTTTATCTTTCCTATGCACGCAGGCACTGTGGTGTACACCAGCGCTGCGTTGCACGCGGAAGTTGTGGTGTAGACATGCGGCGTGGCGTGCACAGGCGCTGCGGTGCACGCAAGCATTGTGTGGTGTACACAGGCGCTGTGTTGCACGTGGTTGCTGCGGTGTACACACGTACACCGGCACTGCAGTATACGCAAGCACTGTGGTGTACACAGGCGCTGCGTTGAACACCATTATCGCGGTGTACGCAGGCGCTGTGGTGTACACGCGCGCTGTGGTGCACGCGAGCGCTGTGGTGTAAACAGGCGCAGTGGGGCAGATCGCCACCTACATGAAGCTCGCGTCGTCGTCGTCGTCGCGTCGTGCGCGCGGGCGCGGCTGTGGTGCCGGAGCCACACGGCGGGGGGGGCGTTACGGCATACCCCCCCCGCTCCCCCCCCCATGACGCCCGTCATCGCCGAACATATGGAAATGCTCTCCATCCAGGCCAGCCCACTTGTGCGCCCCCTCCTGTTCCCTGTCTGTCTGCGCACGCGCCCTCGCGCGCACCCCGCGGTCCCTTCGAGCGCTCGACGCCGCTCGCTTGGGCGCGCGGTCGGGCTGGGCGCTGGTTGTTCAACCGTCCCGGCAGGGGGGAAGGGGCAGGGAGGGAGGGAAGGAGGGAGGGAAAGAGGGAGCGGGAGGGAAGGAGGGAGGGAGGGAGAGAGGGGGGAGGAGGAAGGAGGGAGGGGAGGGCAGGAGGGATGTCCCAGATATGCACGCGTCGCAACGAGAAAGAAGACGGCGGGAGATTGTTGTGGCAGTTCTCGGTCTCGGGGCGAGCTCTCGCCTGGCCCCAGGACCGTCCAGAAATTCGCCTCGGGGCGGAAAACTTGCCCCCGGGAGAGGGTCGGGACTCCCGGGGACCCCGTACTGAAAAGATCTGGACGCTGCATGTCTGGGCCGAACTTCTAGGGTGCGCCCTCCTGTTCTTCGCGTGTTGGCTCCTCGCCTCTGAGTGGCTTTCTTTCCGAATCTAGTCTTGGGGCATTGGGCCCTCAGCGAAGGGCCTCGTGTTCTCGACCCACGTTCTTGTGGCCGTGTTTCAGCGCCGGGCGTCTGGTTATTCCACCGACGCCAGAGGGGGGGGGGGAACGGCGGACAGGGCTAGGACGAGGATAACTCCGTTCCAGAGCGTTCCAGAACGCTCTCAGAGCGTTCCGGAACGCTCTCAGAAGGCCGCGGCGCCCGATACATCTTCCAGAACCGCCAGGTCTCAGAGATTCTCGGCTTGCCCTCACCCGGTGTTATCCTCGCCCGGTCTTCGTCTCAGGAGGAAGGGGAGGATGTACAGCTGGAGCGAGGGCTCAGAACAGCCCCAGCTTTGAAGGGGCACCCTGATGCCCTTCGTGTTGGGGCCCTCCACCTTGGGACAGCCTTCGCTCGGCGCGTCCCCATGGAGCCCTGGGCCGTTTGCGGAGGGCCCCCTGTCAAGCAGTGTCGAAGCAACCTGGCCGGCCTGGAGGCCAGCCAAATAATGTTATGAGAATCTTTTGTGGTTTGCACGAGGTGTTCTTGGAACAGTTCTGGCCGAGATTGTCTTGTTTCAGCACGTCGGGCTTCTGTTCTGAGAATGTTGCTTTTGCTCTTAGAACAACTTGGGGGTTCTAAGAACATGTCGTGGTAGGCCTATGGGAATGCCGGGACGGTCGGTCCTTGCTCAATCATGTTCTCGACCCACGCTCTCGTGGCCACGTTTCAGCTGCCTATGTGGGACCTGAGGGGCAGGAATCCACTTGGCACCCATGTCGAGAAGCCCCTTGCTTGCCTGCAGGCTGCCCTGGGTTCCTAGGGTTTCGACGGGTTTGCGATGGAAAACGTGACTTCCCCAAACCAAACATGAATTGGACGTCCTGGGGTCTCAGGGTTGGGTTTCTTGTGGAAGGCTTCTTGTGCTCGAGTTCCTATAGGGCACGGCTGGACCTAAACGCTGTTGTGCTGGACTCTGGCTGTGGTTTGTCTTTCGTGTTGGCAGGTATAGGAAAACAGGCAGAGCAAACCGAACACACACACATCGAACACGAAACGAAACGCAACGTTGAGGTCCAGCAGGAGAGAGGCCAACACCATCTTCCGCCGCTCCTTCTCCACCCCCCTCCCTGCAAAACGAAAAAAAAAAAAACATCGAAAGCCGAACGAAACACAACGTTCAGGCCCAGCCCTGCTGCAGGAGAGAGGACAACACCATCTTCCGCCGCTTCTTCTCCCCCCACCTCCCTGCGCCCGCTGCAGGAGGTGCTGGGCTTCGGCGCCGGCGCGGGCGAGAGGGAGGCGCCCCCCGCCGCGCGCGCGGCCTCGCCCGCCGACCCCTGGCGGCTCGAAGAGAGCGGCGCCACAAGCAGAAACATAGAACGCGACACACAAGAGGAAGAGAAGACGACACGTCACAGCATATTGGAGGCGGAAGAAAAGACGACATGAAACGACTGGCCCCTCGCCGATTCGAAGAACAACAAAAAAACAAACGAGCATAAACTTTGGCGCTCCGCGTGGATTTCTCGAATCCGCGCTGAGCCCCCCCGGCGGCGCCTCTGGCGCCGCTCCTGGCGCGCTCCGCACGCCAGAGAGGGGGCCCAGCGCGCCAGGATCCAACACATTCGCGCGGAGCGCCAACAGCTTATGTTTCTGACGGTATTTCTTCTTCTAATGATGTATTGTATTGCCCGTCTGGCCCGCGGCGCACGCCACGGGGGCCAGCGCTGAGCCCCTGTGGCTTAGCCGGTTCGGGGAGCCACGTGAGGCGTCCCAGAAAGGGCCCCGCCTTCGAGTCGACTAGACGTTAGAGTGACCTTTCGCCGGAGTGACCTTTGGTGCGGGCCCACTGGCTTCCCGCGATCGCCCAGAATTGTGCGACAGCAGCGGCTTGCGCGCTCGGGTCTGGGCCCCCCGCGCGCCACCTAAAGCCGCGCACCAAGGGTCACTCCTGCCTGGGGTCACTCGTTACTTGTGAGCACCTGGGGGTCTGGGACGGTCGCAGATATTGTGGCGGGGTATCAGCCTGGAGACTCGCCAGAGCAGCGCGTGCATAATGCGTCGTTACGTAGATCAGCCTGGATACACGTAGCGAGTCGTTACGTGTATCCGATCGAGGATCGAGGGAGGTGACGACTCTTCCGCGGCGGAGGGCTGCGCGAAAGGTCGGCGGGGAAGCCGGCGGACGTAGAACGAGGCCGCCTGTGCAGGCGGACGATCTGCGGAAGCCAGCGGAAGACAAAGTCGCCTTCGCACGAGGGACAAAAAAGCACACAGACACAATGAATCGTCGACTCCCAGGAAAATATGGGGAAATATAGGAAGTGGGGGGAATACGAAAACCATTACATATTTGAAAATATCCCGAATCTTGGGATTTGTGTCTATTTTTCTGTGTGTCCCAGGGCCCCTTTGAATGTTTTCGGGTTCAGTTTGTTCCTGAACTTGCCGCGTTGAGCCCCCCTCCCTCCCTTCCTCTGCCGTCCCAGGTTTGGGAGCTACCTTTCGAGTATAGGGGATCGGCTACAGACTTGATTTGCCCAGAATTCATAGATTCGTCGACTTTACGGAACAATAGTGAGAATGCTCAGTCGATTTGCGAACATTAACCCGAAGAAGCAATTAAGACCCCCCCCGGGATATCTTAGCACCGCAATTTTTTCAATATTCCGAGGGGCCATTTTCGCCGAACGATATCTTTAGCACCCGGCAAAAAAAATGATGATGTGAAGGACGAGGATGACGAGAAGAAGGAGGAAGAGAAGTGCGAGGAGGAGGGAACGGAGGAGGAGCAGCAGCAGCAGCAGCAGATGCAGCAGCAGCAGCAGCAGCAGGCAGAGGGAGGAGGAGGAGGACAAGGAGGAGGAGGAAAAGAAGGAGGAAGAGGAGGGCGAGGAGGAGGAGAAGGAGGAGCAGCAGCAGCAGCAGATGCAGCAACAGCAGCAGCAGCAGCAGCAGCAGCAGCAGGGAGTGAGGAGGGAGGAGCACCCGGCAAACATCGGTTGTCCAATTCTATTAACAAATGTGATGATGTCTCAAGCGATTTGGCAAATTCTATTCAGAAATGTCAGAATGTCTCAGGCGATTTGGCCAACTCTACTACAAACTATGAGGATGCCTCACTATCCTGAGCGCTGCTGTTTCCTGCTCCCTGCGCTGGGCGTTTCTTCACTGACGAAGCCTCGCCCCTGACCTCTGCGCCCGCTCTGAGCCTTCTGACCTCCCGTCGAGTCAAAGCGTCGTCGCCCTGAGGATTCTGATACCACCTCTCGAACAAACCAACCTCCTCATCGGTGCTCTGACGAGACATTGCGGAACTGAGCCTGCGTGAAAAAGCTGAGGTGGAGACGAAAGCTCGTGCGCTCGGCGGCTGAAGGTCAAACCCTGAAGCCTGGGCCTGAGCCTACGTGCCAGCGTGAAGCCCTTGAGGGGACATTTGGAGGACCCAGGAGGGGGAGCGCTGTGCCCTTGTTGAAGGTTGCTGGAGCTCTCTGTCGGGTGCATCGAAGAACTTTCCTGTGCCGTCTTGAACTCTTCTGGGCTCCTAGGCCGCCTTGGACTCTTCTGATTCTCCCTGGGCAGTGTATGACTGCTAAACATTTTATTTGAAGCAGATAGTAACATTCTCGTTTTCCTCCTCCTCAGAAATGCGAGGATGTCTCGGGTCATTTTGGACATGGTAATCAGAAATGTGAGGATGTGTCAAGCGATATGGCCAAATCAAAAAATGTAAGGATGTCTCAGGCGACGTGGCCCATTCGATTAGGAATTGTGAGGATGTCTCAAGCGATTTTGCCAATTCTATTAGGAACTGCGAGGATGTCTCAGGCCATTTTGGACATTGTAATCAGAAACGTGAGGGTGTCTCAAACGATATGGCCAATTCTAGCAAGAAGCGTACGGATGTCTCAGGCGATTTGGTCAGTTCTGATAAGGAATGCTTGGAAGTCTGAGGCGAATTGTTGGTTTCCTCTTCTTCCTCTTTTGCTTTTCGTTCTGCTTCGCTTGTTTGTTCGATGAGGTTTCTCGTGGAACTCCTTTAACGACATGTGTTTTTTTTTCGGCCGTCGTAGGGGATGGCCCACCCGACGGTATCCCACCCGCTCCGCACCGTAGCGTTATCCTAGCGCCCGCACAACAAACAAATCGTCGTCGTTAACGTACTCGTCGTCGAAGACATGTGGATGTCTCAGGCGATGTGGTTACTTCTACTAGGAAATGTGAGGATGTCTCAAGCGATGCGGCCAATTCTATTACGATATGTGGGTATGTGTCAAACCATTTGGTCAATTCCTTTCGGAAATGCGAGGGTGTTTCGGGCCATTTTGGAAATTAGAATCAGAAGTGTGAGGGTGTCTCAAGCGATATGGCCAATTCTAGCAAGAAATGTAAGGATGTTTCGGGCGATTTGGTCAGTTCTGATAAGAAATGCTAGAAGTCTGAGGCGAATTGTTGGTTTCCTCGTCTTCCTCCTGTACTCTTCGTTCTGGTTCGTTTTTTTCCCGATGAGGTTTTTGTTGGAACTCCTTTAAGGACATGTGTTTTTTTTCGGCTGTCGCAGGGGGTGGTCCACCCGACGGTATCCTTCCCGCTCCGCACCGTGGCGTTATCTTAGCACCCTGACAAAAAAACCGCCGTCATCGACGTAAGCGTCGTCGAAGACATAATTTCTCCTGAAATATTATTCTTCTCCTTCTCTTGCTCTTGAACGCCCTTCTCCTTTTCTTTCTCCTCCAGTCGTCTTTATTATATCCTGCCTCTTCTGAGAAGTCTGCGGATGTCTCAGGCAAGCTGGTCAATTAAATTAAGAAATGCGAGGATGTCTCAAGCGATTTAGCCAATTCTATCAAGAAGTGCGAAGATGTCTCAGGCGAATTCGCCTATTCTATGAAGAAATACGAGGATGATCCAAGCGATCTGACAAATTCTATTATGAAATGTGAGGACGTCTCAGGGAATTTGGCCGATTCTAGTAAGACATGCGAGAATGACGCAACTGAATCTGCGACAGCTGAATCGACTTGACAACGAGCAAGAAGCATTGATTGAGGCAGAGAATCTGTAGACGAATAATTGGATCTGAAACAACTGAATCGAATTAACAACGATCCGTTGCAAGTTGATTTTTTTTGGGGGGGACGAGCGATCTCGCTGGAACGGTGGAATCATATTGCTGGAACGCTTGAGCTCTGAAAGGGCGGCAGGCACAGGCAGGAACTCTCCTGAACACTGAAAGGTTGCCCTGATATTGCCAGAACTGTCACAGGCACAGGCAGGAACTCTCCTGAGAACTGAAAGCATTGGGGAAGGAGGGAGAGAGGAGGAAGGAGGAGGAGAAGGATTAAGAGCTTGGCAGAAAGAGAAGGAGGAGGAGGAGGGCGAGGATCTGAACCGGAGAGGAGGAGGAGGAGGAGGAGGAGGAGGAAGAGGAGGAGGGGGAAGAGGGCGATGTGAAGCTAGGAAAATACAGGGAAACCAAGGAAAGGCTAAGAGAAACTGAGAAAGACAAGAAAAATCAACATCTGAAACGCAAAGACAACTGAGGAACACTTGAGAAAGCAAAGGAGGAACACTTGAGAAAGCAAAGGGAAAGCGAAGGAGGTTCTAGAAATCATACAGAATTGCTGAAGCGGCCAAAACGCACGCAGTCCCAGAAGCGGCCAAAACGCGCTGAGAGAGTCTCTGGGGCCTGAAGCGGCCTGACAGGGTGAGCTCGACTCGTCCCTTCTCCTGTCTCTCCTGACTGGCCCCCTTTCCTGTCCCTCCTCCTCCTTTCCCGCCCACCATCCCGATCACGAGCTCCTGAGCTGTCTCATGAGGCCTCGAGCCCTGAGCGCGAGAAAATCAATGCAGACAGCATGTGAGCTCGTCGCCGCCACTGCTGAGCATCTGAACTCGTCGACGGTTGCTGAAGAACACAATATGGCTCACCTACACATGCCCCTGAGGAGAGGGTCAGACGGATCGGCCGAAGGCCTCTGAGAATAAGAGATCCCTGGGCCCTGAGAGGCCCTGGACCCCGATGGGGGAGGAGGTCAGGCGGATCGGCCGAAGGCCTGTGAGAATCAGAGCTCCCTGGGCCCTGAGAGGCCCTGGCCACTGAGGGAAGGCGAGGGGCCATTGGCTGAAGGCATCTCCAGGGCCCTGCTATGAGAGCCCTTGCGATACGTCTTGGACCGTCTTGGATTCTTCTGGAACCTCTCGGCCGTCTTTGATTATTCTGAGGCTCTCTGAGCCGTGCAGGAGTCGTGAGCTCTCTTGACCGTTCTGCGGAATGCATCTCTGGGCCGTCTTGGATT